CAGACCCAAAACCTGCAGGAAGCAAGGCGGGGGCAGATCCTGGCCGGGTGGAGGAGCGCGAGCAGCGGAGCATCCTGCGGGATGGATCCCAGCCTCGTCTGGAACCCACAGCCCTGCCCCATAGCCCGTGCATTGCACTTGCACCCCCTTGGCCTCCCAGCAGGGCCAGTCCCTAACTTGCTGATGGAGGACAAAGCAGGGATTAAGGCAGTCCCCCTGCTGACCCCTGCAGCTCCCTGGGGACACTTCCTATCTGTGAGCGTTGTTACTCCTGCCGTGTGATGAGTCTGGGAGTCTGAGCCTGTCCCTTGGGCTGCCTGGTCCAGCCTCAGCCTAGGACAGGGCTGGGCAGGCCCAGGAGGTTGTCTGCTACACCCCCTGCTCCCCACAAGTTATAACGGACACTTGTGTCTACGGAGGACTCATGAGTTGGCCTGAAGATGTTCACATCAGCCTCAAGGTGTTCTCTGCACCTCAGCCCCTGATGCTGTGCACAAGCCCGAGCCAGGGCTGAGGCCTGGAGAAGCCTCCCAAAGGTGCTGCAAGGAGCCACGTTGCTGAGGGTGTGGGAGAGCCCAGTGCTCCTGTGCCAGAGCTGGGAACTCGGAGTGCAGTGGGAACCTGAAGCCCAGCCAGCCCTGCAGGCATGTCCTGTGCCCACTGTGCCATGCAGCACTGACCCCAAGGTCTTGACCACACAGAGCCCCTGGCCAAGCACAGAGGTGACAGGTAAACAGTGGGCTGTCTGGGAAAAAGCACCCACCGGAGATGATGCAACCGTGGTGCAAGGGCCAAAGTTCTCAGCTGGCCGGGCCTGCTGGCAGCTCCCAGAATAGCCCAGGAATGTCAACAAGGAGGAAAGAGTGGGCACAGCTTGGCCTGGGAGCCCCGGCTGCAGGCAGCAGCACGCAGGCAGCAGCGGGACTGAGCAGCCGCCGGTGCGCAGGGCACGGTACCCGCTCGCAGGGCACACATCTGCCCGCACAGATGTTTCGTGGTGCGCGCACATCTGCACGCTTCCTTGCAAACGCACCGTCAGCCCCGTCCCAAGTACTTGGATACGTGCTCTGTCTGCAGAGGTTCTCTACACATTGACTCCTGTGCCTTGTATTCCACGTTCCTGTACTGGAAGTGGAGTGGTTCCTTTCTGGCTCTTAGGGTACATTCCCCATGGAAAATTTGACTTCCACCCATGGAAGGAACTAGGTCCCCCCATGGTGCTCTCTCCACGTTCAGCAAGCCAGAGGGAGCCTCAGGCTGCATTGCTGAGTGACACTGGTCCGGGGGCATTAAAACCTCTGTGTCACCACCACCTCGCAGCAGCCATGCCACAGCTTCACACATGCAGGGAGGGGAAACTGAAGCTTGATGCTGTGCTGAATTCCTCCTTCCCTGGCACATCCACAGCACAAAACAGGAGGCAAAGAGCTGTGGCAAAAAGGGTGAATTACTCCCGAGCCCATCGCCCTTTCCAGGCTGCAGGGCAGGGTCTCCCCAAAGGGATTAATCCTTCTAAACCTTCCAGATCCCTCTGCACTGTCCAGCACCCCAATGCTGCCACCACAAACCCCCATTCCACCTCCAGCTTAACAAGAGCATCTGAGCCGCTGCCCCCTCACACTGCAGCTGTGTGTGTGTCGTGTGTGTGTCCCCCCCCCGCGCACTCTGGCCCATGGGATGTAGGCCAGGGGTCAGCACGGAGCTGTGAGTGGTTCTTGCACCCATTGCATAAGTGTGTTGTTGATTAAACGGTTCCCAGAAAGTGAAGCCCAGCGACCAACCTGACCAAAATACCCCCTCGGGTCCCCCCCCCCCAGGCCCAGCACTTGCTGCACACATGGTTTATGGGCTGCCGACCTCGTGTCCGGTGAGGCAAACGTGGCACCTGACAACCTGCCCTAGAGGTGGATGAAGCAGGAACACCCTGTCCCCCCCCAAGAGCTCATGCACCAGCATCTGAGTACGGCTTCTGCCTCGGTGCCCATTCCCATGCGGCTTCGCCACCGATGCCGGCCACGAAAGAGCCAAACTCGGACGCTGTTCCCGGTACAGGCATGGAAAAGCTTCCTCCTCGCCGGCCCCTCTCCCGCGGGGCAGCACCAGGCTGGGGTCAGGGCAGCAGCCGTCGGGGCTGCACGGGTGGAGGCACCTTGGGGCCAGCGCAGAGAGGGAAGGGAGGGCTGGAGCCGCAGGGCTGGTCCGGCCGGGGTCCGGCCGTGGGAAGGGAACGAGGCCAGGGCTCCCGGCCAGGGAGGGCAGGTGCAGGTCGGCGGCCCCGCTTCCATGGGTGCCCGCTGCACCGGCCGGGGGCCGCGGGGCGATGGAGCGGCCCGGCGGGGTGCTGTAGCCCCCCCCCCAGCCCGCGGGCGCCACCCGGCGGCCAGAGGCAGCGCCGCACGCAGGACCGCGGGGCTGAGGCTGGGGGCGACGAGGGACCTTAGGGGCAGCCCTTAGGGATGGGGCAAGGGGCGACGAGATCCCCCCCCCCCGGGGAAGCGGCTCCTGGCACCAGCCGGGCAGAGGATGCACAGCGTGGAAAGCGCCCGTGGGACTGGAAATTAAACATTAATGGTTCTCAAGGCAACAGCGGGGGGTGCAGGAATTCCCACCCCTCCCGGAGAGCCGGGCCCTGCCAAGGGACGCCCTGGCGCAGCGCACTCGGACCTTTGCTTCAGGCTCTGTTGATACTGGCAGAGGCTCCTTGCAGGCGCCACCGGCGGCAGTGGCACATCTCCATCGCCTCCCGGCACGGAGGCTGCAGGGATGGGACCTTGCTGTGCCCTCCCTGTCAGAGCTGGCACGGGCCAAGGGCACAACCCCGGTGCTAGGTCGATGCTGTCTGCACCAGGCCAGGCTGGGGGGCTGCAGGCGGGATCCCCATCACTCTTACTGGTCTCAGTGGGACCAGTACAACAGCATGTCATGGCGGCTGGGCGTGAGTGAGACCCCCCACCTCCAAAGCCCCCTGAGCACCCAGGGAACCCCAGAAGAAGTGTGGTGGAGAGGGGACACCATGATGTGAGCACTACCCTCATCCCCTCTTCTCCCACCAGTGATGGAAGAGTGGATGCCCAGCGGGAAGTTGCACCCTGCTGCTCTCAGGGCTCCTGTTCTGCTCCCTGAGGAGCCTGACTTGGTTCTCTGCCTTCATGCTTACACCGAGGTTACTCTTGTTGATGAAGAAGACTTGCAAAGTGAGCCCAGGCTGCGCTGAGCCCCACAGAGAGGGCTTTTCCATGCGCAGCTTTGCTAGGGATAAAACCCATAGCTCCTGCCTGGGCCACCAGCAGTGGGAGCATCCCCTCTATGCTGGGGACCCATGCCCTTTGCCACCCCCATGGGCTGTGCCTGGCTCCATGGGGATTGCCCTTCCTTGGCTGTACCCTCCTTGCTCTGTGGTGTTCCCCAGTGGAAGTCTCCTTGAGATTCCTGAACCTCAGCCACGCTTGCCCCCGTTTTCCATGGGAGCAGGACAAGCCACACGCATGGAGAAGAGGGCCTGTGTGAGGTGTCCCTGCCTAGGGCAGGGGGTGGGAACTGGATGATCCTGAGGTCCTTTCCAACCCAAACCATTCTGTGGTTCCAGGATTCAGCTCAGGGGCTCAGGCTTGTGCTCCCGTGCACTGAGGCACCTGTAGGGTCACAGGGCCGAGCTAACAGCTCCTCTGCCCCTTCATTCAGCCCCTTTATGCCCATGCTCGCTGCAGCCCAGCTCAGCACCAGCCCCAGGACAGCTGTTTGTTCAATAAATAGAGATAGTGAAAAGAAGCACTGGGAAAAAGAGGGGGGAAAAAAAGGAAAAATCACTAAAGACCAAACCCTCTTTGGGTTTGCGCAAGCAGCCTTGGGTCCCAGACAGTATCGATCCCCGCGCCTTCCACGCTGCCTGCCCAGCAGCTGGGTCAGCAGGAACCCTCCAGGTCCGGGTCCTGGAGGTCTGGAAGCCTGGATCTTGGGATGGTGCCTGCTGATGGGGAGATGCGGGTCCCCGCTCCAGCACAGGGCTCAGCGCGAACGCCTGCCTCCCGTGGGTACCCCCTGTTCCCTGCTAGCGGTTGCTCCATCCCTGCTCAAGGTTTCCTCTTGTCAATGTGCATCCCGGCTCTGCTCCAACTGGAGCTGCTCACAGCTCCAACCAGCCCGGCCTGATCCTGGGGCAGGACACGAGATGCCAAGCTGTCCTTCAAGCCAGATGGAGGAGGTCTGACTCTGCCCTCTTCCAGCTGCCAGCCCTCTTGTCACCTGGTTCAGTTCTGTCTCCAGCCTCTGTGCTGGGGTGATCGGTGGCCCCCAGCACCGCAGTTACCCAGCTCCATGCCCTCATGAGCCTCTCTCTCCCACCACCAGCACCCTCTCCCTGCTTTTTCAGCCCTCAACATGGAGGGGACACATGGGAAGCCATGGAGAAACCCTAACACCAGATTACGCAATGGGCCAATGTGTCAGAGCCGCCCTTTGCCCCCAGCTCTCACGGCATTGACATGCCCCACAGCCAGGCTGGCAAGGGGCAGCGAAGGGGGTGGCTGCCCTGGGCTGTGGGCCAGAGGCTGCTCTGCAGTGAGGGAGCTGGCAATGGGCTGTAGGTAAAGGTGGGGGTCCTGGGTGGCTCTGGTGGTCCTGCCTGGCAGTCGCTATCCTCTTTAAACGGGTGAAAAGCCGCTCCATTTGGTCCTGACTTAGGACAAGAATGACCAAACACAGCCAGTTCTGGTAGAAGGGAAGATTCTGCCCAAGCAAGGAATCTGCCCTAGAGCACATCCAGCCCCTGGCACCCTTGGGAGAGGTGGAAGATGGGCCGGCTAACAACAGGGCACACACATTACATGTGCACACGCCGCGGCTGGGAGTCTTTTATTCAATACCAGGTAGCCAGGATGTTACCAGTGATGCTGAGCAGTGGGGCTCCACGGATGGGCTCACCCCTCCGCCCTGGCCATCCCCCAGCATCTTTTCAGCTTCTACCTCCCCAGCACACGTTCGTGCTGCAGCGCTGAGGACTGGGACCAGCAGCAGGGCAAGTGGTGCTGTCCTGAGCCGCTCCGCAGAGCCTTGCAGGTACAAGGGTCCAGTCTCCATTGGGAGCCAGTCGCAGATGGCTCAAGAGCAGAGAGGAATCCGTGGACAAATCTGCAGGGGGAAAGGAGCTGTGTGGGAGGTGAGGGAGGAGAGGACTTGCAGATTCAGCATCACCCTTCAGGAGGAGAAAACGCTTTGGCAGGGTTCCCATCTCAGCGGCTCGCCAGGTCTTGGGCTGCCAGAAAGGGGCCAGGAGGAGGAGAGCCCTGCAGAGCACAGGTCCTGTCCTCCTGCCTCCCCATGCACAGGTCAGGTACAACCACAGGCATCAACGATCATGTCGGGGATGTCGGTCTTGACGATGTTGCTGTCCCGGTCATAGTAGAGCAGAGAGAGGGGACGACGCTGCGTGGGGACACAGCAGGAGTCCACGGCTGCGTCCGCGTTGTTGGCTTTGATGAGGTTGAGGACAGCCGTGTGGAAGGAGGCAGCAAGGCCAGGGATGCCCGCCACGTGCAGGGGACAGAGCCCTGCGCAGTAGTTCATGTGATAACCCTCGGGCTGGATGATCCAGTCCTCCCAGCCGATCTCCTTGAAGTCCACAAAGAATTCCTGGCGGCAGCACATCTTAGAGTCCCTGCTGCAGTCAATGCCGCGCCGCTGCACCCGGTGAGGGGTCCTGGCCCGGGCTCGGGCTGCCACAAATGGCCGGTGGGAATCACTGTGGCCAGGCAGGAGGGGAGAACCCCAATCCTCCGCCGCCTCCAACTGCACAGTGAGTCTCTGACTCCCTTGGCCAAAGAGGCTCTGAACGGCCTGACCCACATCCAGCGTGGCCCAGCCAGGATGCTGCACCTCCAGCCGTGCCTCATGGACCACGGTCACGTTGAGCCCTGTTGGGTCTGGCTGCAGGAGTTGGATGGTGACGGGGTGCATCCCGGGGCCGGGATCTGCCCAGAACAGGTAGAGGGTGGCTTGCAGGATCTCAGCATCCCCAGCCAGCTCCTGGGTGAAGCGGAAATGCAGGTGGACACTGTGGGAGGTGGAGGACCCTGTGCACGGAACCGAATGAAGAGGTGAAGGGAGGAAGGCCAGCCCCAGCCCCGCTTCCCTGTGCTTGCTGCTGCTCCTCCTCCCTATGCCTTCCTCTTTTGCTAAAGGAGCAGCATCCTCCCGGTGCTGAATGCAGCAGCCCGGCTTGGTTCCATCTCCTCTGACATCCCCTTTCTCTCTCCTCTGAGGACCAGCTCTGGAGTGAAATGTGGCAGCCCACCACTTTGGGTAGGGAATGGAGACACAGCTCAGCATGGGGAGCAGACGGGCTTTGGAGACCCGAGTGAAAACACTGCAAGCTGATGGGGCATCTTCGCTTAACATCAGGTTTGGAAGAACATAGCCACAGTTAGCCCAAGTGGGGAGGGTCTGACAGAAGGAGACAACACATTCAGATGGTAGAGCTCCTGCACCAACCTCCCCACCCCACACGTCCCATATGTAACTGAGGGGACCCTGGAGCCTCAGTGATGCTTCCCCTGACCGTGGCAAGGGGTGGCTGGTGGGGGTAAGCTCAGCACCTGGGTGCAAAGGTTCTGGACATGGAGCCTCCTATTACCAGTCCTTCCAGCAGCAGCCTGCCCGCTGGCCTGGCGTTGCTTGCAGGAGCGTGGTGCCCCTGTGCAGAGCCTGTGCGGAGGAGAAAAGCTCTCATCACCTTCCCACGGGCGAGAGCCGCCTTCCCCCTGTGCTCAGGAACCACCCCACCGTGCCCCTGAGGCGCAGGGTCTCTACAGACCTGACTCGGCAAAGCTCAAGATCTCGTATTCCTGCAGCCCCAGCCCGGGATGCAGGGGAGGGACGCTGCTCTCACGGGGCATCCCAGGGGAGACGGGATCCGTGCGCTGCACACGCATCCTGCCGAGCGCCGTCAGCAGGGCCCCCCTGGCCACGGGCTGGGTGATGTTGGGTCTGCCCGGCAAGCGGAGCTTGGCGAGGATGCTCTGCTTTGCCCGTGCCATGAGGACGTGGCGCTGGGCGGCGGGGGCCAGGGCAGCCAGCCCGCAAGCCGGGCACCGGGCTCCCAGGGGAGCCGCCATCCCCAGGAGCAGCAGGAGCGGGAGAGCCACCGCTGCTGACATCTCCGGCACCGCGGGAGGGACAGCGGGCGGGCCCCCGCCGGCGGCGTTCTCCAGCGGTGCGAGGAGGCGAAGTCAAAGCGGGGCCGGGATCGCGGGGGTCAGGGGCAGCGCACGCCGCCTCCTCCCGCAGAGATGGGCTGAGCCCGGGGAGATGAACGCCCCCTTGGGAGCCTCTCCCGGGCACGGGGCAGCCCGCCCCGGCTGGGGGGGGGGGGGGCGCTGCTGCTCTCGAGGCTCGGTCCCGGGGCCGGGGCTGTGCCCGGGGCACCCCACGGGGGCCACCCTGGTCCCGTGCGGGCGGAGGGGTCGCGGTGCTGGGGGGGGTGGGGGGGCTCCGGTCCCCCGCGCACCCCGCACGGTGCCGGTGCCGCCGCCGCCGCCGCCCCTCCTCCACCGCGCCAGGCGGCGCTGCCGCGTCCGCCCGGTTGCTACGACAACGGGGCGGTGACGCAGCACGCACGGGCTGTGACGTAGCACGCACGGGGCGCGCGGGGGGAGGGGCCGCCGTTTCCCCCCCCCCCCCTTTTTTTTTTTTTTTTCCTTCCTTTTTTTTTTTTTTTTTTTTTTTTTTTCCCTCCCCGAACGTTTCTCTCCGGTTTCCCCCGTTCCCACCCCCCTCCCCCTTCCCCTCTCCTCCCCCCCCGGCCCCGGCCCCGCCCTGGCCCAGGCCCAGGCCCGGCCCGGCCCGGCGGCGGCGGCCCCGCGGCTCAGGGCCCGGCCCGGTAAGTGCGCACCGGGGGGGGGTGGGCTCCGGGTCCGTGTCCGGGTGCCGGTCCCGCCGCACCGGGCCCCTTCCGCCCGCTGCCGGCTGGGAACGAGGTGCCCCGGGCCGAGCCTCCCGGCTCTGCCGCGTCTCCGGGGGCTCCCGGCGCTGGGCTCGGCGCGGTGCCGCCGCGGGGAGGCTCGCAGCGGGGTTGCGCAGCGCACGAGGCCCGGTGCTGGGCCCTGGGGTGCCGGAGCGGGCAGCGGCCCTGGCAGGCGGCTGAGGAGGAGGAGGAGGAGGAGGAAGAGGAGCAGGCGGCGGGAGGAGAGGCCTCGGCCCTGCCGGTGCGCGGTGTGGGGGGGAAGCCGTGGCGATGGCCGCGGAAGGGAGCGCGGCCTCCGGGGGCTCCTGGCTTTGGGACGCGGTTCTGGCTTCGGGGACTCCGCTGCGTGGAGCGGGAATGGAAGGGCTGGGAGCGAGCTGTCCCCTGGCCCCAGCGCGTCCAGGGGCTCTGTGCACGCCGCGAACGGGTGGCTTCGGTGCGCGTTGCTGCGTGTTGGCACGTGTAAACCCTCGCAAGGGATGCGGGAGCAGTGTCGGTGCGGGTCGCTTATGGACGCTGTGACTTGTGACCTCTCGGGGAGTTTGCAGTGCGCCCACGTTGGTTCCCGGTTGTGCGTCTCGGAGGAAGCATGGCCTGGGTGAGCATCCCGCCTCCCCCCCGTGTGGGTTTGTGCCCGAGATGTGCCCGCAGTGCTTTCCCATGGGCTGGTTGTGCCCCAAAGCAGGGCTTTGATTTCTCAGAAGGGGTGAATGGACTCCTGTTCCTGGAAGCTTATTTACCAGCTTGCACCCTGCTCGGCGCATCTAATGCGAGGGAGCTGTTGCTTGTAGGTATCTTTAACACAGAGACTTGGAAATGCGTTTGCTTTTCTCCTGCCCACTTAAAAGCTGAGCTCAGCTGCTTTAGCTCTGCCTTTCTTTGTGTGTTTGAGCGACGCATCGGTGTTGGCAGAAGATGTCTGGCAAAGCAAGGTGTGTTTCTAGGGATATGTGCTGGTAGCGCAGCTAGGTGAGCAGTGGGAGTGGTGAGGGGATGGGTTTCACCGCAGGGAAAGCCAAGCAAGCTTTGGGCAGAAGTGCCAAGCTTCCAACTTGACAACAGGACAGGCTTTATTTCACTTAGAGCTCAAAGATGCCACTGTAATTGTGAGTACAAAGAAGCCGTGAGTTTATTACGGCTGCTGCTGCTTTTGTGGCCTCACTGCATGCAAAGCGGTCTGTTAGAGTCTGAACCACCCTGCTGAAGAGGGTTCAGGTGGGTAATGCAGAGCTGCTGTTAACCCTGCGTGTGTTGCTCAGGGCAGGTGCACGTTAGTGCCTGCCTGTGGGTTTGGAGCCAAGTCAAAGCTGGAAGAGTGTTAAGGAAGCCACAGGGTTGAGAAATGCTGAAAGAAGACTTGATAAAGGGAGACAGCCTGCTTGGGGAGCTGGAAGTGTTGCCTGACTTTGGTGCCTGTTTATCACCAAACAAATCATAGGCTGAAGAGTTATATCCTAGCAATGAAGAAGGGGGAAGAAGCTCTTTGGTGTGGTGTTAGGGCTGAGGGTGTGCTCCATGCCACAGGTATCCCAAATCACTGCTGTGCACAGGAGTTGCTTTTCCCCAGCTGCATGGGGAGCGAGGGGAGGATGTTGGGGGACCTGGTTTGCTTGGCAGAAAGCAGATGAACAGATCAAAACAGTGCCTTTGCTTGTCCTAAACCCCTGTCTGGGTGCTCCTTCTCCTGCTGGCAGCGCGCTGGTCTCTGTCTGGTTTTCTGTCACTGGTGCTTGTTGGGAATCTCATTTCCTGCCTTGACCTGTTCTCCATCTGCCTTTGATAAGTGGGACCTGGTTCCCTGTGGTTACTTCAAATAGTTCTGATTCTTCATGCTCCAGTCTTTGTTTCTAGCCTCTTTGCTCCCTGTAGCCTATTAAGGCTGACTGACATAACCTCTGTGTCCTTCCTCCTTGAATTTGTGCTGGAAAAGTCTTGGTTGAATCATACCAGCTATTGCTTGTCATAATCTTCCTTCTGGATTAAATGGCAGCTCGGTGTTCACAGGTGATTTTCTGCCATCTTTTGGCTGTTCTTTTTTTTGGGGGGGGGAGTGGTTTTGTTTTTCAGTGGATGGTTTCACTCCTCCATCCACAGCTCTTTGTGTTCTTATGGAGCTTTTAACATATATTGGTAAAGATTTCCCCCTGTTCATTCTTGTGTCTTCAGAACGCAAGGACAGATTGTGTCTGCACAGTAAACTTTATAAACTTATTCCAGTGTATGTGTGTTCACATAGAATCGTTTTAATGGCACAAACTAGAGGATGAGGAAAGGCTTTAGGCTGATTTTCTTCTGCTCTGTCCACCAAGATGGCATTTGTTGGGTAGTAAAGCATTACTCCAGACTCCAGGGATTGCACAAGTGAGGATGTATCTCCACAGGTTGCTTGCAGTGATGATGCTGTGCTGGAGACAGCCATGAGGAGCCTGGATTAAGACTCCCAAATCAACTCCTGCCAGCTGTGAAGGAGAAACATCACTTGGATCTGGTCTGGGCTCTTATCTCCCTCCTGCTTGGAAGTGGGGACTGGTGCCCTAGAGGTGAGTGGGATACAGAGCTCATTGACCCCGCAGTGCTTTGAGCTATCTGCAAGATAAAACCTGGGCTGATTCCACAGAATGAGACACCAGTTTGCAGCATTGTCCTCCTCTTTGGGTGAGTCATAGGAGGTTTGTTTGCTGGGATCAAACCTGCAGGGCAGGGACACCTCCCACTTGAGCAGGGTGCTCCAAGGCCCTTTGTCCAACCTGGCCTTGAACACTGGCAGGGATGGGGCAGCCACAGCTTCTCTGGGCACCCTGTGCCAGCGCCTCAGCACCCTCACTGTAAAAATCTTCTATCAAATCTAAACCTGTTCCCTTTCAGTTTAAAGCCCTTGGCCTGTCACTGCAGACCATGGTAAAAGTCTTCCTTCTCCATCTTTCTAACAAGCCCCCTGTCATTATTGAAAGGCCACAATTAGGTCTTCCCCTCTCCAAGAGGAACAACCCCACAGCTCAGCCTTTCTTCAAGTGCTGTCCTCACCTCCACCACCCCACTTACAAACGTAATGTGAATCAAAGCTTTCTCTGGTTACAGAGCAGCCTGGATTTCCCCCAGTGTCTTCTAGAGTTCAGACCTATTTTAACTGCTGTTTCTCATCATCCTTCGTATGGTAGATGCTGACAGATGAAGAAAACAATCGATGTCTTGGAGAAAGGTTCACTGGAAGTAGTTTTGTCATCACATAATTCCTACCTAGAATCAGGTCGAGAAACAGAAAGGGCTTTCATGCCACAACGGGCAGGGTTGTGTGAAAAGCGTGAAGAATCAGAGAATTATGGAATGGTTGGGGTGGGAAGGGACCTTAAATCTGATCCAGTGAGTCCCAGCACTGATGTTTGCAGGTGTAAGCATGCGTGGATGCGGCATACTTAATCTCATTGCACTGTTAAACTTCAGCTAGCTCAGTGCTCATTTGAAGAGCTTGGTTATTTTGAAGGAGGAGGTGGCTGCCAGAGAGGCCACACTGCAGGATACGTGCCAAAGCTTTGGGAGCAGCTTTGGAGCTGCCTTTCAGTCCCTCCTTAAGTGCAGCAGGTTTTGGTGTCGCTCAGCAAGCTGCTGTTTTCAGGGGGAGTTGAAGCAGGAAGTCCAGCGTAGTGGTGCAGCAAGAGGCAGGAAATGCAGCTTTTGGCACCTGAGTGCTGAAGGCTTTTCCAAGGGCTAAAGCTATTTTATTTGGCTGAAGAGAAACTCATAAGCAAGCGCTCTTGCCAGTATTCTGTGCCTCTGGTACTTGCTCTGCATGCCTGCGTGCATTTCTTGCCTTCAGTCCTTCCCAGACTTATCTTTGTGGCCTGCTCCAAAGGCCCCAGCGGACTGGAACCCACATCACAATGACAGCAAGCCCTGTAGGCCAAGTGGATTTAACTTTTACCCTGCTCTGAGTCTTTCTTTGTGGTGAGGAGCTGGCCCACGGTGCCCAGAGAAGCTGTGAATGCTCCATCCCTCGCAGTGTTCAAGGCCAGGTTGGACAGAGCCTTGGGCGACCCGGTCTAGTGTGAACCATAGCAGAAGGCTGGAAGTGGATGAGCTTTAAGGTCCTTTCCAAGCCAACCCATTCCATGATTGTATGAGGTAGGAAGTGCCTGCAGCTGGAGGTGGTGGAGGTGGATCTTAAAGGCTTGGAGAGCTCAGCGAAACAAGTGGTGATGCTGATAAACGCTGCTGGGTCTGTGACAAGGGAAGGGTGCACTTCAGCCGAGAGACTTCCCTCTGTATTCAGCAGCATTCAGAACACATTTGACATGCTTACTGTGCAGAAGTACAGGACCACCTCCTGGAGGGGCTTGTGAGTTGTTCCTTAATGCCTGCATCCATTGATGAGCTAGTGGAGATCCAGTTTGGGTTTTCTTGCTGGAGCACCGCTCAGAATCCCGCTGCCTGGCAACAGGAAAGTGCTGATATCTGAAGGCACTGCGTGCTTTTCAGCTGGCTCTATAAACGTAGCCCGAGTAGAGTGGTGGCAACAGAGATCTCTGGAGGCTTTAGTTAGACTTGAGGCAGATACTACCCAAGCAGGAGGGAGAGGTGGCCTCTGATAAGCTCTTGTGGCTGCTGCCCAAGTGACTTCGTTAAATCCAGGTTCAACACAGCAGCGTAACTGTGTGTGCCTGTTCCCAGCAGCTCTGTTCCAGTTGATGCATCAAATGGATGGCTTGCTGCAGTGTCTTCCTTCTGAATCCTGTCACAAGAGCGTGGACCTTCCTGCCACCCCTTCCTTGTCTGTAAGAGGGGAGACCTTAGGGCAGCCTTCCACTGCCTGAAGGGGCTACAAGAAACATGGAGAGGGGCTTGGGACAAGGGATGTAGGGACAGGACAAGGGGAATGGCTTGAACCTGCCCGAGGGGAGACTGAGCTGAGCTCTTAGGCAGAAGCTCTTCCCTGTGAGGGTGCTGAGGTGCTGGCACAGGGTGCCCAGAGAAGCTGTGGCTGCCCCATCCCTGGCAGTGTTCAAGGCCAGGTTGGACACAGGGGCTCGGAGCAAGCTGCTCCAGGGGAAGGGGTCCCTGCCCGTGGCAGGGGGTTGGAACTGGGTGATCTTAAGGTCCCTTCCAACCCAAGCCATTCTGTTGTATGCCGTGAAGTGATTTGGCTGAGATAGCAGCAAAAGGCAGAGCGGAGCCAGGGTGAGAACCCTGGAGCTGTTCACTTGCCTGGCTCGCTGCTGTAGAATGGTTTCTAACTCAGCTGTGTTGTGCTGCTGAAGTCCTACTTCCACAGGACAGTTTTCAGTTGAGGAGCGGCCTTCTGCATCGGTTAGCTCTGATAGAAGCTCCTGGCTGTTCCAAGATAAAGGCTGAGGATGCCAGAGTGAAGGAGTCATTGAGGCCAGCACAGAAAGCATCTCTGAGAAACCGATCTGTGAGTGATGTGACAGCACAAGTATGGGAGCAAACAGTCCAATATGCAGCAAAGCCCCATGTTTCTTGTGACTGCTGGGCAGGAGGTGAACTGCAGTAATTTAGACCTTGAGGTTTTTACTGGAAGTGTGATTAATCCACTCATACAACGGAGCAGTTGAACCAAACCATGCATACGTTTCTCTCTTCTCTCCATAAGAGCTTAGGTGACATTTGAAAAGGTGGTGGGATGTAGCCAAGGACCAGAGTTCCTTTCCCTCCCCCTTCAAATCTAGCACGCTCTCCTCCATCTTTTTTGGAGCCCCCTCTTGATTCTGAGCCCCAGTGAACCCAGCTCAGGGCATCACAAGCTCCCTCCTGCATGGCAACAGAGGTGAGGCGTGCTGCTGCAGAGATGCTTGCGTCTGAATGTGGGCAGCAACAGGAGGACGGGCTGCTGCTTCCCTGCCTGCGTGTCAGCGCTGGGATTCCCCTCCATGTGTGTTGTCAGTGGGGCGCATGCGGAGTAGGGATGCTGTCTGAAGCCCAGTTTCGTTATGTATTGGGAGCACAAGCTGTCTTTGTGTACTGCAGGCTGAGTCACTGCTGCCTCCCAGTGAATTTCGGGGATGATTATTGTATGTGGGCAGATGCAGCCTACTCCTTAGAGCAGCTCACTTGTATATATATTTTTTTTAATGAAGTTTGAAAATCTTTATATATTCCTTTGACATCCTTTCCTTTGAGAAACTCAGTTCTCCTGAGCTGAGTTTAGACTCAAGAACCACCTTCTTAAAGAAGGTGCTTGCTGTATCCCAAAAGCTGTCCTCTTTGGGGAGGCTTTAGGCATGCCATCTATTAGGAAATAGAATCCTGTCCTGCCTGCTTCATGACCAGACCCAAATGAAGAGACCAATCCTTCTATTGTGATTTGACCTTGGGGAGAACACAGACAGAAATGAAGATCCAAAGCGTGGGATGAATGCAGAGAGGTGCTTGTGTATTTAAACAGGGACGTGGGGTTTTCAGACGCAGTGCACCTCATTGACACCAGTAGATGTAGGTGAAACCCTCAGTCAAAGCCTCGATGCTGAGCTCTGTACCAACATCAGTAGGTGAGTACATGGGCTGTTAAGTCAGCTGTAGAGCTAGGGAGCCTTCTTCACCATCACTGCCCCATCCCTGGCAGTGTTCAAGGCCAGGTTGGAAGGGGTTTGGAGCAACCTGCTCTATGGAAGGTGTCTGTGCCCAGGGCAGGGGTTGGAGCTGAACGGTCTTTAAGGTGCTTTCCAACCCAAACCATTCTATGCTTCTATGAAATTAAGGTAGCTGGCTTTACAAGAGAACAGCTGAGTGAAGAAAAAAGGCTCTGACTTTGCCGTTAGAAACAGGGGCCCCTCATTTCACCATCACCCCCAGCAGAAACCATTGGACAAAACATCATCTCCATCTCCCTTGTTTGAGCTTCCCATGAGCAGGACGCACAGGGAGCACCTGCCCCTGCCCCTGGCCACCAGGAGCCGGTGCCTGTGGTGCTGCCGCATGTGCTGCCGGCCTGGTTTTGGGTCTGTGCCTTGCTGCAGGGCTCTGATCCAGAGAGGGCAGCCCTGGTTTCTGTTGCCATGTTCATCAGAATAACAAGAATAACAGTTCTTGTGGATTCCCAATGTAAAGGGCGAGCGAATAAACAGCTGCTGGCATCACTACACAGAGCTGGGAGGCTGCAGCATCCATGGGCTGCCCCGTGTGTTGCCACACATGCTTTAGTTCATGCCATCTCCCTCTGCTTTCTCTCCTTCCCCTCCGTTCCTCTGGCACCGGCACATGTTCTATTTTTAAACCGTGCTGTGCTCTATATTGCGGCATTTCTCTTCCTGAATTATTTAGCAGTGTTTGGAGCTGAATGGAGTATGCTGTGTCTTCTCCCACTGCTCATTACTGCCCACGTGTCTGTCTTGAGCCATTGACAGATTTGGTTCATGTCAAATCGCGCTGGCCGTGCCTTAGAGAAGGGCCGGGGGGGGACCGTGGGGCTTGGTTGCAGCCTGGGCTGATGCAGGGCTGTTCAGACCTTGGGGTGTTTAATGCTCTTCTTGCTGGGACAGACGGGGAGGGGATGGTTGCCATGATAATGCATCCTCAGCTGAGGCAGGCT